AGAAAATCATTGATTCACTTTATATATTATAGAAATGTTTATACAATCAGGTTCCTGTCTCTTCTTTTTGCCTGGAGAAAGGGCTCACAGTAGTGCTTATTCATTTCATTTTTTTAAAGCTGAAATCTGCTAGATAAGCTTTTTTTTTTTTTTTTGACAAACGGATGCCCCATTTCTCAAACTTTGTTGCATGTTTTTCAGCTATCAGGTCATTTGGACCCAAGAAAAATTGCAACTCCTTGTGTCTGTGCTACACATTTTAATTTTCAAAATATATTTAAATCTGCCCTTATATTTGATTCAGATCTTCTCCTATGTTTAGCTTAAAAGATGGAAGCCTTCAGTGAAAGTTGTCAGTGAGAAAATAAGGACAGGATTAAAGTTAATGATTTCTTTTTACAGATTTGGTTTTTTTTTTTCCAACTTAAACTCAGATTTTCATAAATATTGTGTTAAATTTGAAGGTATGAAAAAGTGGACATTTAGTATATTTAAATGTTAGAGCTCAACAGGCATACTTAATGCCCAGTAGACAATTCCTTAAAAAATAAAACATCAATATAGAAAGAAGAGTGTAGTAACAGGGAGGAGATATTTTTAAAAAACAGACTTTATTGTGCAAAACATTTGCCTCATATTTCCTTACAATATTTTCAGCCTTAGACTATATTTAATTTTTAATGATTTTAATTTGAAGCCCTTACACACATTGTTATTGGTTTTTTATTCATTGTTTAAATAATGATTATGTGTTTCTTATTTATTTTTTTTTTCTTTTACGCAAATGGATGATTTTGTCTTTCTCTTATAAAATGGAAAATATTGCTGTAAGAAACAATTCTAAGAAGGTTAAAAAGTCTGTTAACAACATAAGGAAAATTAAGGGGCCCTAGGGTTATGTCTGCATATGAGAAGATAGTGGCTAAAGTCACGAACCTTATTATCATCTACATTTGAAATGTTCCTAATTTATCCCTCTACTAACACAACTCAAAAGAACAAAGCTATCTTTCTGTACAAAATCACATTAGCTTCTTATTTTAGCCGAAAGTTCCCTGTTTAATAAAGAGGAAATGACATAAGAGGTGAATGCAGTAAGAATACAACCTAAGCTGAGCGTCCAGCTTCGGCAAAGACTACTGAGAAGATAAAATTGGGAAATGGTGGCCAAGGAGTCCCTCCACAGATAAAAGCTTACTTGACAAAGTCAAGATGCAAATCGATGATTACATTCACATCTAATTTTTAATAAGCAGTATGATATATCTCCCCAAAAACAAAAGGCAGCCATAGTAGAAGTAAACTCTACAAAGTTGTTGAGGGCCATACATCCAATATATTTTCCATAGCCTTCATATCCTCTCAGTGCAGGAGATACCATTTTGAAATGGTTCTTCGAAGAAAATAGAGCTACCTGTACACTGTTTTAAACAAATTTGTTATCAGAGGCATGAGATACTGTTTCCCAGAAATTGTTTTTAAAATGACAATTGAAAATATTCTGGTTATCATTTTTCATGTATTCTGTGATTTACATTCTTTATTTAAAACTTGGCCAAATGGATTAATAAAGTCTGTTAATGATTAAGAACTAGGGAACTCATTTTGATTTAGTGTGTACAATTGTATGATTAAAAAAAAAAAGTAAAAGAGAGCCACAGCATCCCAGCTACTCGGGAGGCTGAGGCAGGAGAATGGGGTGAACCTGCACGGCAGAGCTTGCAGTGAGCCGAGATGGCGCCACTGCACTCCAACTTGGGCGACAGAAGGAGACTCAGTTTCAAAAAAAAAAAAACAACAACAAAAGAGAGAGACATGGCATTTCTCTCTAGCTATCTTTAAAATATACACAGTGGCCACCGGCAAGTGTGTAGTAATGTATAAGGTGAGTTGTCATGTTCTATTTGTATCAGTTTCAATAAATGTGTTATCTATTCTCCAGACTTCTATTGATAAAGACAAGAATCAAAAGCAGGCTGTGAAGAATAAACTTTAAACAGTAACCGCTATACTTTCTCGCTGCATGCATAGACTTTCTATGAAAAATATCTGAATCCAAGGTCATCTATGTCATCGAGTTTCAACACACCATGTGTGCTGTGTGCCCTGTGTGTGTGTGATTTGCAGAGCCCTTAAATTTAAATTTATTTCAGCAAGGAAAGCATCAGTGTGGTGTATAACAAAGTTGTATGAAGGGTTCATCAGACCTCTAAATAATCAAAAACGAGTAAAAACTGCATTTTTTCTAAATCAATTTGGTAAACTACTACATTGACTTCTTATAATTTTAAAAAAATTAACTCAAATTTACTGTCTTTGAGTCAAGTATTTTAACATTTCATATTGTTTTATTGAAGACTAAGGAATTCAGACTTTGGGTTCTTGACCAAGACACATTATATATGGAATAATTAGTGCTAGTCAGGATGCTGTTGAAAAAGCACATAAATATTAATTTGTCACACACAGCAATTACAATCAAAATTAAATATGCAAGTAAACCCTGCATTGCTTTTGTCTATCCTGCTCCCAAGGATTGTTTTAAACCATGATGTGAAAGTATTTCCTGATAATTTATTCACTATTGGTAGGAGAGTTTATATTAAGTTTGATATGCAAATAATTGAGAATATTAATAAGTATCTTGTATTTGTGAATATCTAATGAGGGTGTGTCCACTGCCTCTGTAAGAGAAGGACATCTTCAATGTCTCATGCCTTCTCTAGGGAGCCCTTTGTTCTGTTTTTGATAATTCATCACATTTTCTTAAAAAAAAAAAATCTGGGGCAAATTTTGGCCTTTGTTTTCAAGCTTTAGAATTGGATATTTTCTTGTCCATCCCGTTTTTTTATTACCTGTCTGAGGTAAATTTACATTAACAACAACCACAAAAACAATCCTGTATTTTTCTCCATAGAAATTCAGTCTGATATTATAAATGTAAATATTATCCATTGATAGATATACAGGTTCTAACTATTTTTGAGCCTTAGTGAGACAGACTTACAGCCATTAATTTTTTAAAGAGTTGTGTTCAAGTGCAAAGATGACAGGTGACCAGATAAAGTCTGGGTTAGAAGGACTGGATAGCAAGCCATCAATTTGGAAGGGAAATCAGAGATAAATGGTCATCCACCTTATTTGACAGATGAGGTCATGAAACCAGTCTTATGTATAGATAAGGTATAAGTTTTCACAAAGACAACTTTCAATAGAAAATATTTTCTAATTCATTTCCAACAATAAGAGATTGTTTGCTATCACACGATTAATTCTTTCATAGTCAACAGTACACGTGCAATCAATACAGGTATCCATGACAAAAAATTATGAAAGTACTAGAAACCTGTTCTCTATTTTATCAAGATTACATCTGGTTACCCCTACTATTATCTTCACTGGAGTATGCAGCATTATCCCTCAGCATCCCCTTTCCCCCAACACACACGCTGTCCTTATTGAAGTTTAGTGGGTACCAGAAGCAAAGGCACCTATTTAGGCACCTCTGGGAGAAGTTATGCTTAAATTTATAAAAAAATATATTTGAGAACATTATACACTACAAGGACAACAATCATTTACACTCATTTTTGATGTTCATTTCTAAGAGATAATCTAGCAGAGATGTTATTCTAGGATCTTGTGGAATTTTCTAACCCAATATTATTTCTGCTTGCCTAAGAAAGAGAAGGAACTGAAAAATGCCTGTATGATCAAAATGTTGCCAAGTTGGCTTGTCTTTAAATGCTTTGATTTCATTGGCATTCCATGAGGCAATCACTTTGATGTTCGTCAAATTAAACAAAAGTAAAACTACTAAGGTATTCGACTCACGAATTTAATATACATTTATGTGTGTGTGCGCGCGCATGTATGTGTGGTTACAGTAGGAAACAGATTATAAGAGAATGTTGTGGTTCTAAAGGAGTGAATTTCGCCTTTTACCCTCACTATTTCTTTAAAAGGGAAAGAAATAATAAACTAGGATGAGATAAAGCTTATTTAAAGCCTTCATTTCCCAGGGCATATTGGGATGCATTTAAAACTGAGAACAGCCTTGAAACCTTGTGCTGGTTTTGCCTAGATGAGGATTGAATTTCTGAAGACAAAAGTACAAACACAGTATAGACATGCTATCCATTGAAAACACCGAATCTATGCATTTGAATAATAATAAAAAAGTATTCTTTATCTATAAAATGTCTCCCAGGTACCAAAAGATCAAATAAAAATCCCACCCCTCCTACTGTGTTCCTAGGTTGGTTATATACTTACTTGAGAAATGCTTCATAGCACTTGTTTCAGTGCAGTATTTTCTGGTTTGTGGGGCTGGAATCAAACGGACCACTATTCCCTGTGCCCCAACACACAGACTTAGGAAGTCAGTGCTCCCTATAGCACCATACTGCACGATAGGTGTGCATGACCATGACTGCGGCATCCATCAGACATATTCTGGTAGAGATCTGGTTACTGATAGCCTTAGCCATGGGCACCTGAGGCCCCACTCAAATTATAGCTGTCATTCAATCCAGAAGCCAATGGGCATTCTCTTGAAGTCCGCTTGGCTCTTCTGTTCTCTTTATTGGTAGGTCTGATTTGTTACTATGATCAATACAGGTTAACTTGTGAAGTCCTATATACAACACTCTTCCTCCTCCAGACTACCTTGCTATTACCTTGCTATTGCTACTTAGAAATGTTAATCATTGGAGGTGTGATAAATTTACAAATATTTAGTTTTTAACCCATAGCAAGGCAGATATTGGGCTAGAGTGTAAAACACAGAGCATTTAATATACACAGGAAATTTAGGAAAAACATTTTTGATGCTAATTTTCCAAAGTCATTTCTACTATTTCTCATCATTATAAGATTACTCACATATTTTGAATTGCATCCCACAGTAGTCACAGGCAAATGAGAATAACATATGCTTTACAAAACAAAAAGGGATATCAGAAAATGAGTCAAAGTAAAAAAATAACAGGTACCATCCATTCTCCAGCAAATAATGAATCTGTAGTGTATTTAATTACAAATTTCCAAATACATATTCACATAATAAAGACAAGGAAAATGAAGCAAAATCAAATGTATTTTGTTGAAATAAGCACATGAGCTTGAAGGATCAAGTACTGATGGCTCCCAGTGTTTTTCATGTTGGATTCACTTTGAAAGTACTGATGCCATCAGCACTTGTCAGCTGGCGCCCAAGGATGTAAACTTTGAGCTTGGATACTTTTCACAGGAAAGCCTCATATTCCTAAAGGAGACAAATGACCACTAAAAAGTAACCATTAATACAGATTATTTATGGAGGATTTTATCTTGACTACTAATTAAGGGAGTAATTGTATCTCTGAACTTTATATCAGACTTCCAGTAGATTTGCCAGATTATTAATGCTTTTTTAGAATACATGGGGGTGGGGTTATAGTCACATAATACAGTTTTTCATATTTTTAAAAAAGGGGTTGGACCAAGACATAAGTTTCATTGACAATCTTAATGTTTTCAGTGTAAACAATATGTTAGAATAACTGCAGTGAGTCGCACAGCATATAACTTCTTAATGGTAAATTCAGAACCAATCTTCCAGATAAGCAAGTACAACATTTTAGTTAGAAACAAAAGCAAAACAAACAAAACAAGAACAAGGTTGACTTCAACAAAGTTTTGAGGCCTTCCAGTTGTTTGATAATTGTGATAAATTTCAACACAATGACATATTGGATGCCCAACTTATTGGGTTTTTATAGACCTGTTAGTTTTTAAGACCATTTTCTAAAATGTTCCCATAGATGTATTTTTAAATGAGAACTTAGATGATCTAGACATTACAAATTTATAATAATCTTTTGAAATTCTACCAATATCACCTCCATATTCAAAACAATGGAACTATAACAGAACAAATAATAAATATCACACAATCTTTTGTTAAATGTAAAGTGCATTTTTACCAGTGTTTCAACATCTGAGACTTTGAATTTCTATTAAGTAGTTCTGATAAATACATAGTGCTCTTTCTTTTTTCTGGATGACAATATGTCTACTAATAACGGATGTTCCCGAAGAGCAATTTGCAATGTATTTTCAACAGAAACAACTTAACCTGAAGTAAGAACTGTATATATTTACTTCTTGACTCAGAAATAGTTATATTCCTTTTCCATGGAATGTGTCTTCCACCAAGAGATTTTAACCAAGGTTTTCCCAAACTGCAGTAAAAGAAATCTTTTATGCTTTCAAATACGGTGCCTTTTTATTTAAAACAGTGTAAACATAACAACTCAACACCACCAATAATTGGAAAAAGACTGGGTATGTGAACACTAATTTCCTCATATGTCCCATGAAAGTGAGGGTAAATAAACAGACAAATCTTCAGGAGAGGTTTCAGTTCACCTTAGCAGTGGTAAAAATATTGCTTTATTCCAAATGAACATACAACACAATTTACTGTTCTCTTGGGGGGCTTCTTGTGAACTGAATAGTCTGGGTTTTTTTATTTCAACAATTTATTCTTCCCATACTAACCACAGAAGCCAAAGCCTTGGTCCACACATAGTAGACTTGCTATAAAATAAATAGCAATGAGGATGATGAGAAAGCAAATGGTAACTGTCAATTTGTTAACTGTCTTGTGTTAATAATTTAAGTAGGCATGATTCAAAATAAACACACACCCTCAATTAACTCACCTTATGATACTGATATCATTAATGAGCCAATAGTTGATCCTCTCAAAAGTATTCACATCAGAAAATGGTCTAGACAGTGTCAAGAGTTTTATACGACCCCACCATGCAAGTGACCTTGATTTAAGAACTAACTGAACTTTATACTTAATGGAAAAATTTGAAGTGAACAGATCTAAGAGGGAAACACTTTTTCTGAATATTAGATTCCCTGATGTTTCAGAACAAATTTTAGCAAGCGTAATACGCGCACACATGCACACACATACGCACAATGAACACATGTGCTTACAGCATATGTGTCCGCGTGAGCAAGTCCACACACACACACGCTCGCACACACATGTGCACACAGGCACACAAAAACTGAGAAACGCTCCTCCAGAGCCTCTAAACAATCTCAAGGAAAAACATTTCTATTAGCATGATTTTAGTGACACGACATAGTGACTTGTTTGTCTCTTTTTCTGTAATAATTTCATACCTCCAGCTGAGATCTGTGCATTCAAATCTCAGAGGAAGGTGGCACACAAGAGTAGTTAAGATTGCCCCCGGTTTCTCCTTCTGTCTCCTGTCCTCCTTCCCATTGCAGAGTCTTTTGTGGCATTCTCCAAAAATCAAATAGAAAACACTACATTTCTCGACATGACATAACCTGTGATGAGGCTATTGGGTGAATAGAAATTTAGGGCTTGGGACTGGCAAGCCAAATGGCAAGGGCCACCTGCTCACTGGCGCATCCACCTGCAGGATGCAGCTCTCCTCTTTTTGAAACCAGTGTGTTTTAATGAGACACTGGCACTTGTGGGGCCAAGGGTCTGAATTGCCCACATCTTCTAAGAGCCAAAGAGGACAGTGTTGGGACTAACTGAAATTGGATTCAGAATTCTACCCCAAAGCTTTAATGGTAAGCTTTATCCCTCCTGAAACATTTCTTTCCCTTAAAAAAATATTTTGTTAAAAAACACTATGATATGAGGGCGATAGACTATTTGGTTTCTTCTAAGTAGATGCTCTTAAATTAATGCATATAAATAATTCGTATTTGATTTCCTCTCTTTCCTGTTGAGCAAAGCATAGAATGCACAGATTCCTACATCTCCAGTCACTTGGTCAATGCAGAGTCTCTTTGTATTTCATTTCTTAAGACAAATTGTGCCTCTCGTTCTGATTTGGCCGTGGGACTCAGGGGGAGAAAGGCTGTGTTTTCGCTTGCACTGTCCTCGGTTTCTACGCTGGCCAGTTCGTAGTCTTCTGACCGTCTGGCATCAGTCAGAATTCGGATCTGCTCCTGGACAGTTTCTAGCAATATTTTCACTTCATGTTGTTCTGCTATAAGACAATCGCTGACTGGAATACTCACATTGACAACGTCAGCTGAATAGGAGTTTTTGCACCATTTGATGCTTTTGACTTCAGAAATCCCTGGCATTTGCAGGCAGGTTTCCTCTAAACCCACTGAAGGGATGATGGGCACAGAACTGGCCCTTGTGGATGAATAGCCCACCAGGTCCTTTTGCTCCAAGCTATTAAAATAGGGGTTTGTCTCTCTTGAAGGCAGTTGCATATTTATTGATGTATTTCGTTGAGTTTTTAAACCATTGGATGAATACCTGAAAAAGAAACACAGTGTTACTCCTTCTGCCTTCTGCTGGGCTTTGTTAGAGCAATACTCAATCCACAAAGCACTTTTCACATGCACCATCTCACTGAATTCTCACAGCAACCCCATGAGACGGATAATAGATTCCCAGTTAAACAGAGAAGTAAACTGAAGCTCAGATAGGTGAAGTGACTTGCCCAAGGTCACACAGAAAATAAGTGACAGACTGAGACTCAAACCCAGATCTTCTTACTTTAAGTCCAGGGGTCTTTCAACACACCACAGCTGTATAGGCAGGTGGGATATAGTCTTCCTGACCTCTATCCTAGAATACAAAGTAAATGGGGATTGAGCAGGTAAGTGTGGCCTTTCCATTGTGACAAACAGGACACCCATAATGGCATTAGTCCACTCCATCAACTCGACCACCCTCTCAGCCCTGGGTTAGTCCAGTAGACTTGTTGTGGCCACCCTAGTTGAAGCCAATCAAGAAGCCCAATATTAAGCATCCAGGTACTACAATCACGAGTTTTTCTGCTTCACACTGATTTTAGGGGATCCAAATCCAATTTCCACTGGTACTGTGCTCTAAAGGAACCACCTCACTGCCAGATTGCCGAGCCAGCAGATGGGAATGGGAGGATAACGATTCCTCTACCAGCCTGGGGCTGAATATGAAGTGGGTTTCATAGGGCTTCTATGCATCTAGCATCTTTCCTTATAACCAAGTAACCAAGAAACCAAGTAAGGTAGTTCTTTGGTCCATGGCAAGGACTTGTCAAGAACACCAATATGCCATTGCAAGTCATTTGAATACAGCAGAATCTTCTAACTTCCCTTCTTGCCTCTTCAGGGCTAGTAAATCTTTCTCCTCTGTGCTGTTCAGGGACAGAAAATGGGACAGGTACATAGCAGATTTGTAGAAATGGGGTTTTGGAACTTGAACAGTAGTGTTTTATTCTATTTCTTAGTTATTTGTCCCTAATTTAAACGTTAAACATTCAAATTTTGACACAATTTAAACATATCAACCTTCCATACAATAAATCTCATTTCCTTGACTTCCATTATTATGTAAATGAAAATCATGTTTATACATGTAGATAATAATTGCAATGCAGTGTGTTGCATACTAAATACAAATCTTTATTGTAAGGACATGATTGGGAGCAAATTAGAGGTCTTTCCACCAGACAGTGAACACAGACAGGAAAGAGATTTAGGCCTCTGTAGTCCCATCCTCTCTTACTGTGCCTAATACAGAATTGATAATCAATACACTTTAACCAAGTGAACACATGAATACATAAAGAAGTCTTCAAGGTAAACTCCCCCTTTATATCCTACTTAATGTCTGTTTTCAAACTTAATAACAACAGCTAATATCTGTACAGTGCTTGTAAAAATCACTTTCACCTCCAATTAACTTGTTTTATTTTTTAAAAACCTTGTAGTTTATTTATTATTATATTTAGTGGATGAGTAAAATAGACTAAGATGATTTTCCCAAAATTATATCTTTAGTAAGAGTCACACAGAGAATTTAAACCCAAGTTGTCTTATTCTAATTATTACTGTCAATGTTAGAGGTTGCTAATGAATGAATATATCCTAAGGTGAACCAGAATACCTTTTCGGGGATATGTAATCTTTATTCATACAAACTGCACAGCTACATATTTGGAAATTCTTGGGGAATATTACTCCATTCTCATTAGTGTTATATAACTGAAAATATGAGCCTAAAAGTTCAAATCAATAAATCACTTTCAACAAGAAGTAAGGAAACAAAATTCAGGCTTTTGTTTTGCTCTCAGCACCATTCTGTTAGCATGATTTGTATGTATGAAAATATAAGGCCGGGCGCGGTGGCTCAAGCCTGTAATCCCAGCACTTTGGGAGGCCGAGGCGGGCGGATCACAAGGTCAGGAGATCGAGACCACAGTGAAACCCCGTCTCTACTAAAAATACAAAAAATTAGCCGGGCGCGGTGGCGGGCGCCTGTAGTCCCAGCTACTCAGGAGGCTGAGGCAGGAGAATGGCGTGAACCCAGGAGGCGGAGCTTGCAGTGAGCCGAGATCGCGCCACTGCACTCCAGCCTGGGCAACAGCGTGAGACTCCGTCTCAAAAAAAAAAAAAAAAAAAAAGAAAATACAGAAAGTCTGTCTGTCAGGTTCACCAGTGAAACAGGGACAAGAAATGTAGGCAGGATAGCATTTCACATAAATATCATCAAGGTATACCAGCAGGTAGAATCTGGTAAGTTGATACGCGATGGTGATAGGTAAAAATTCTTACACTTGGATCTAAACAGTTGGATAAAGGTGCAAGTATCTTAGAGAATGTTTTTAAATTGTAAATTCAACAAGTCAACTAGGTGACATGACTAAGACATAATCAAAGGCAATTCACGCCAAACTTTGAGCATTCTTCTCATTTGCCAGAGGTCTGACTAAAGGATTTAGATGAGAAAGAGGAATTGCAGTGGACTATTGTGTGTCACTTTCCAAGTCAGGCTTTGAACACATGCCTGGCAACAACGGAAATTTAAAATGTTACCATGACATGAAGATGAGCTGTAAACAATGAGAACTTTCCTAACTGTGATTTTGTTTTGAATTAGACATGATTTCAAGTTCTAAAATTACTATATGCTCTGGAATCTCAGGCAAATGGCAGCCTCACTTTAATTTTGCCATCAATTAAAACAATCAGGTAGTAACACTAACTTGATTGCTCAGAGGGAAGGGGAATTTTTCTGAGGACTAATTGAAATAATGTCTCTGCCCTGTTCTACTAGAGACACAGTGGCAAGCCTCACGTCCCCCCAGAGATGCTATGAGTGTCCCAGCACTGGTATTCCAGCAGAAGTTTAAGTGAGAGCTACATTTCTAGATGTAATTTCTGAGTCAGAGGATTCAAAGTTCTGTATCCCTTGAGGGCCAATGATGCTTCCACAAGTTCTGTCCATAAGCTTGTCATTTCGTTTTGGGCCAGTCTGCCTCTCATCCTCAACAAAGAAATTACAAATGCATCTTGTCTGTAACTATGTGAGTCGAAGCATTCTTTTAAAGAAGAAAGATTCCAAGTATTAGTCACTTGGTTTGGTTCCCAGTCATTCATGAGTCATGCTAAGGAATTTGTGTTTCTCTAGGAGACTCCAAACCCTTTCAGTTCCTAGGGCACATGACAATGAATGAACAGACTATTTTGAAGGAATCCACACTTTCCTCTGAAGTCATAAAATTACATACTCCATTTACAAATCATCAGCCATAAATGTGGTTTTCTTCACATTCCTTGTTGATTTAGTGGTTTATTTAGTCAGAAAAGCCAGTATTCAATCTCAGCTCTTTTACATGGGACTGTGTATGTCACATTGGGCTAACCATTTAAATGCTGATATCCTTAGTGTGCTTATCCATAATATTTCTAAAGAATAACTGAAGGAAGTATATAAAGTTGCTAGCTAGGTGTGGTAGGTATTTAGTATATTTTGAATTTTATCTACTTCTAAGATGTGAATCCAACTTTTGTGATTCCATCTCTTTTTGTCTGGCATATGAATACATTAGCTTGATTTTCCTGACATGATACAATTAAAACTCTCTGAGCCATTACCATGGCTGTCATTGACCAGGGCTCGAGTCATGACAAAGTTTCCTCAAGAATCTCCTCTTCACCTCACTCCTTCCCCAGGCCACAATAAGATAGACGTTAGGTTCAAGCTGGGCTGAAGTTCTTGCCAAGGAAAGAAGCCAAATACGTTGGGAGCCTAACTGTCATAGACAGTGCCCACTTGCTTGGTAAACAAGCAGCAGATAGCTGATGGCTCTTGCAAATTCATTTCCCCCTCCTCCAGGCTGGGGCCAAATTTAAAGAGGGCCTTTAGCTGTGAAATTCTATTACCAATCCCATTTCCAGTCCAGAGAGACAGTCAGCCCCCTGGGAGTGGAAAATAGCTGTTTATAAGAACTGAGAATGAGATTATTCCCTGAGATTCATTGTGCTGGGCATACAGTGACTTACACTTAGAGTCACCATTTATCAACATCTGGTAGATATCACACATGGGAAAATACCTGTGACCAGGCAGCTGGAGAGAATATTCCAACCCAATCGTGACTGAACCAAAACAAAACCACCACCATGCAGAAAATAAGTGTGAGTCTCCTAGGAAGTTAAAAAAACAAAGCATTGCCTGAACATGTAATGTGATCTCTGAGCCCCTGATGATATGTGCATGGTTCAAGCTTGAGCCTGGCGTAGGCTCCAAGTACCCTTACTCTTCGAACATATGGAATGATGGTCATAACAGTGCCCAGTAGAAAAAAATAAAAAAAGCAGCATGGGCTGGGTTTTTTGTCCACTCACAAAATCTCTGAAGTTGGTTTTCCCTCATTTGTTCTTGTAACATTCATCCCAGGGATTTTATGTATATGTATATAGTCATATTCATTAGCAAGAGGCATCATTAGTCAATTATATAGAAAAGGCACTATGAAACATGATCAATTATAATTATGGGTTAAATGCAAGCCTGCTTTTCCACAGATAAGACCAAGAGAAATGCAAACTGCTTCTTGACTCGCATTATACATTTTGAATCCCTTGGCTGTTATGTTTGCTTTGCAACTGTCACCCTAAATCTGTACCAAATGCCTTTTACAGTCCATTTGGAATTGCTTCAAAATTATAAACCTAGCCACCAGCCATTTATTTCCTATCTTCTAGTTTTCCTAAAGAAATCTGTTGCTGAACTTTGTTAGACAGGACACTGCTCGATATATCCCATTCCCATATGAAAAGAGAAACATGAGATTCTATGCTAGACCTACCCACTGTTTTGGTCTTTAGCCTGATAGAGACAGTCTAGAAAAATCATCCAGGTCAAAGCAGCATAGAAACCAGGCCTGGCTCATTCAGAGAGATAAAAACAGAGCCACAAGAACCTGGCTTGAGTGAGGGAACTGATTTCTGAAATTTCTAGAGTAAACTCCGATTGCATTGCTCTTGAAATTATTGAAAAAATTATAACAATTACTGTAACAATAAATACCAGTACCATTTCTCTGCTTACTATGTGTCTACTACAAACTCTTTACACACATGGTTGTTTTAAACCTGCCCAACAATCTTCAGGGGGTTGACATTATTTTGCTCAATTATTTGTATTTTTCTTTTCTTTTTTGAGATAGGGTCTCTCTGTCACCTAGGTTGGAGTCCAGTAGCACCATCTGCACTCACTATAGGCTCCATCTCTGAGGCTCAAGGGATCCTCCCACCTCAGCCTCCCAAGCAGCTGGGACCACAGGTACACACTACCATGCCCAGCTACTTTTTGTATTTTTGGTAAAGATGGTGTTTGCCATGTCGCCCAGGCTGGTCTCAAACTCCGAGCTCAAGTGATCTTCATGTCTCAGCCTCCCAAAGTGCTGGGACTATGGGTGTAGCCACAGTGTCTGGTCTATTTTTCTCAATTTATAGATAAGAGCATCTAAGACCACATCATAAAATATTCTCAAAGTCACACTAGTAGTAAGGAGCAGAGATGGGATTTGAAGTCCAGTCAGTTTAAGTGGGGATCGCATGCTAAGTTGGGTAGTTTATGCCAACTACGTGAATAATGGCTAACATTCATCCTGTACTCAGCTCATCATGCCTTGAGGCCTCTATGGATCTGTGTCCACCAGAGGAAGGGACATCTTTTGCACTGTAAAGAGCAGCAGCGATGGTGTCCAAAGCCCATCCTTCTACCCCTGTACCATGAATAACTTGCAGATATGAGTTTAGTAAGTTGTACTTTGACTTTACACTCTCAAGATTGACCCAGATTCTACATTCAAGCTCAGGGGAAGCAGATACTGTATATATGCCATGAGTTATTGTTTAGTGTATTGTTCACAATACTTATCAGGAATTAACTCCTTTTTCTAATCTGCAGATGAAGGAACACTGTAATCCTCCTTTGATTTTTTAAATCAAAGAGAAATTTCCAGTTGTATTAGCAAATGATCTAATAACATATTGCCTAGATATCTACACTTACTTTCTTCCTAATTATATTTCTTTCTAATGTAATGTTTTCCCGATACCTATTTCCATCACACCTATACTTTAAAGTTGGTTCACATTTTGTAGAACAAAGATGGCAGTAAGCATATATAGCTAGTTAATGAATAAACCAATGAATAAAACCCCAAGGAACTTAAAACTTAATTTAAAGCTATGGCATTAAAGACACCTTCCCTAAATTCCACTGCTGTTTTGAGACCTACCCTTGGCAAGGTATCGTATCCTGGTCTGGGATCCTTGATTCTTCGAGTTGCTGATATGCTGGTCCCACAAGTCCGCCTAGCCTACTTCGGGGTGACGGGGGTGTCCTTCTGAAGGCATTCCTGTGGAGCATGCCACTCCTTTGCCCTGGGCTGCAGCAAGAGGATAAACTCCTGCTGAGGTGGAATGAAAACAGACAAACAAACAAACAAAAGACATCATAGCAATAACCTCACAGGTGGCTGTCCAAACTTTGCAAACACTGAATCTGCACCCCAAGTCCTCAAAGTTCTAGGCCAGGGGCCATCCATGAATATAGTATATGTGGTAGAATGGGATCAGGAATAGCCCAATCCATTTTACCTTTGGAGACACTGAGAAAAAGGGAAGTTCCTGGATTTCTGGCTTTCTAGGTTAGAGCGTGACTGATGAAAATCATTGCCACTTTCCAGCCAGGGTAAGAGGCGAACTTAAGGAATTCTCAAGCTCCTCATTCCCATCCATCCTGATTATCCAAGGCATCGTAGGTGTCTCTCTGATAGAAATAAAAATAGCCTTCTTATGAGATACTGATGAAAACTAAACACAGTAAGCCCAGAAGGGATTTATGGGGGAAAATATTCACTTATTAGTGATAGAATTAACAAATTTTAATTGGCATTTTCTCATTAACATATGTTTAAATCCCCTGTTCACTACCTCAGATTTTAATCAATCTTGACAAACTAAATTATTTTTCTTCGGAGTTTGCTTTTAATAAACATCTGATTATATAGTTTATTTGACTCATACATCCAAATGCCTAAATAACTATATGTTTATAGATGCCATCAATGAGCACAACATTTAAGTGGCTTACACCACAGGCCTTAACAAAGTGAGAATTCTTACATAGATTATGTACAGAAAAGACCTAGACTCTATAAAAATCCATTGCTGATGAGACTTATTACCTGTTCCTTATCCATTCCCATCTCCACCCCACTTAATTAACCCTACTGTAGACTGGTGAGGAGAACTTTGTTCACGTGTAGACATTCCACGAGATGCTAGTTTATGTGGTCACACTGGTTCTGCGGTGCTCAAATAATAAAGAAACTGAGAATTTTGTGCTGCATTCTCATTTAACTCTGTAAATATCAATACAACCATAGAAAGAAATATGAAAACATTCTCGAAATTTTAATAAATTTATGAAGGTTCTAAAGAAACCAGTCTCTCAAAGACATTTTGCCCATATCACTATATTATTTGGGGTTTTGTCACTTTTCTTCCATCAATATTACTATTAATTCTACTTAGTCAATACAAAACAGGACTTTGCAAATATTATTTAAGGTCAGAGTTTGAAAATCTGATATTTGAGTGTTAATAGCCACTTTCTTAGTTTTGGCAAGGTGACTGATCAATCTCTATATTCCTCAAGCCAACATTAACTTCCTAAATTTGTGCAAGCAGAAGATCATATCTGGTAACATCCCTTATTATACCTTTATTCTTTTTTTTTTTTTTTTTTGAAACAGAGTCACCCAGGCTGAAGTACAGTGGCACGAACTCGGCTCACTGCAACCTCCACCTCCTGGGTTCCCATGATTCTCCTGCCCCAGCCTCCCAAGTAGCTGGGACTACAGGTGCCCCCCACCATGGCAGGCTAATTTTTGTAATTTTAGTAGAGACGAGCTTTCACCATGTTGGCCAGGCTGGTCTCAAACTCCTGACCTCAGGTGATCCACCTCCTAGGCCTCCCAAAGTGCTGGGATTACAGGCGTGAGCCACTGTCCCTAGCCCCTATACCTTCATTCTTTATCATGATACTTCTGGTGTGGTGTGTCCCTAAATGCCTAACAGGGAATGTCTAGTTAGCTCACTAAGCCCACAAGTTGGAGAAGCTCTCTAGCAGCTAATTTGCTTCCTTGCCTTCCTACTTTCATCTACCATCCAATGGCAATGATGGGATCTGCAGGGCATGAAGGATGAGATGCTAGAGTTAATTAGCTGCAACTGAGTGTAAGTCTTGGGTCTGCAGGTAACTAGTTGCTGGAAGCATGATGCTGACGGAGGTACTTGTAGCAGTCAGAGTCCCGGAGAGACATAGATGGCAGTTTAACTTGGTTCATTGCTAGAGATTTTGCTATATACAAAAGTGTGATCAGTGTTTGAGGGGAAAAAAAGCAATAAAGGAGGCTGCCGTGCCTCAGGACTACTATGAGAAGCTATTATTATCCCTCTGACTTAAGGGACAAGGAGAGGGAGCAGTTCCCAGAATGGAGAGAGAAAGTGAGTTGTAAGGAGGGGGCCGCATTGCAGGCTCCATGGCCCAGAAAAGGGACATACTGAAGGCAACCAAGCAGGGAGGAAGGGTACACAAGGGCCATGACCTCACTCTCCTCCCTGCCGTCTATCTCATGCCTGTGCCTCACACTGAACCCACAGAAACCAGAGGACAAGGGAGCCTGCAGCCGTCTTGGTGTACAGGGCAAGGCAGAAAACAGAAAAGGTAGAAATTGTTGCCAGTGTGAAAAGGGAGTGGCAAAAGGAAGATATCAGCGTTCTACTTAAGAATTTTCCTAGGTTCGCTATGGGATGTGGAGGTTTAAAGAGAGGAAGTATGCAAAGCATGGAGCATGGAGCCTGGCACACAGTAGGTGCTCCGCACGATGAGTTCCTCTAGCTCCCCTGCCGCACCTGGCAATTCAAAGGGTCTTCTCTGTCACTGAAAACCCTGGAATTACTTCAATGCAAAAAACCTACATATGTGGTTTTTATAAGTGACATGGCGAGGCACAGTGGCTCACACCTGTAATCCCAGCACTTTGGGAGGCTGAGGCTGGCGGATTACCTGAAGTCAGGACTTCAAGACCAGCCTGGCCAACATAGTGAAACCCCATCTCTACTAAAAATACAAAAATTAGCCAGGTGTGGTAGCACGCGCCTGTAGTCCCAGCTACTTGGGAGGCTGAGGCAAGAGAATCCCTTGAACTCAGGAGCTGGAGGTTGCAGTGAGCCGAGATCACACCACTGCACTCCAGCCTGGGCGACAGAGCGAGATTCTATCTCCAAAAAAATAAAATAATAAAAAAAGATAAGTGACTTACATTGCCAAAATATACTGCAATAAATATGACATGCCGTAATAGATTTATTTTCTAAACAGATGGGATTTTTTTGAACTAAACATTAGAAATAATGGCTCTGAATTAATAGCTTTGTTTCGTACATGAGTTATCCAAATGAGTCATATTTGCAGTTCACAAAAGAAATTAATTATTCATAGCTCACTAAACTGTCACAACAACAAAGTCTATCAGTATGAACTAGTGACCTGTCTTAAAAAGAGTTTTATGCCTATTGATCAATCAGCTATTCAGGCCTTCTCACTCAGTGGCATTCAGAAAGTTAGGGAGCAGTTTCCAGGATGTATAAATCAGTGCCTGGGTTATCAATCATGAAAACGTTTAAGTCTATTGCATGTTTTACAAAACAAAAGCTATGATATATTAAACTATAATTTACAAAGTTCTAAAAGCATTTTGTGAATCAACCCTTGCCCATCTATCAGGACACAATGTATGCTAACAGATACTGCAATGTCATTGATCCAAACAAAAAGGAAAGTCTCTTAAAGATGTCCTTATTTAATCTGTGAGTGACTTCTAGACACCATAGCAGAAGCCAAGTTTAGGAAGGAGCATTAAAAAAAGCACATGAGAACTGGGGATAGTAATATTGCAGCTCAAACATATTAAAAGCTGATCTTTTAAAACATATCAATTTTAAAGCATTTATGACAGAATATAGTTAATATAATACTAGAATGATATTATACTGAATTACTTGACTAGGTGGAATACTACTTTAACATGTGTTATAATCAGGAGGAGAAAATACCATTTGGGGGAAAATATCGGTCTTCTGAAAGACTGGTAATATTGAACTTATTTCCCTAATTAAGACAACTTCCATTAGGTCCAGTGAAATGAAACGCTCTTTTCACAGGAAAATATTCTGTAAATGCAACATTGATATAAATCAAAACTTGCAGTAAGAATAGCTAAAGCAATTATCCAAGAGCCAAAGATATTTCAATCCTGAATTGAACATAGATTCATACCATATTTTTTAAAATGGCAAACTCTCAGTGTTTTAATCTCTACTCATGTAGAATGAGAATAAAAATTACCATCAAGTGCTGAGGATTAGTGTCAAGAGTGACTAAAAATCTCAAAGTAAATGTGGCCAGAAACAATAAAATCCACTTCATGTAACTCATTAACAGGTGAAGAAGAAAGTAGTTTTCTTCTATCATGTATGTGTCCAGCTTGGTGTTGTGCAAACTATTGCCTAGTATGTGACAACAAAGGGGCAACAACATTCAACTTTCATTGCTGGGAACGACTGTTATTTACTTTTTCATTGTTAAAATGTTTAATTTTTCATAATTTTTTCAAATTGTAAAATAGTGTATATCTCACTAAGAAAAGGAAGCTTAAATCTTTGGACAACTTCCATAAAGACTGAGGATGTGTATCTGTCATTTGTCCCAAACTTCATCATTTGGTTTAGAACAAATACCTTTAATATTTGGAGTTTCAGAATCCTGATGTATAAAACAGAAAAGTGGAGACTAGAAGATGCTGAAGGACAAGGTTAGCTTTAGAATGCTATGAAATGTGTCAGATAACTACGTTTTTGGCTTTTTCTCCAAAGCAGCCAATTTCTGGGGAGCTTGTAAGAAACTGCCACCCCATTTATAACAGAAGATTTTATAGACCCAAGAGGAAGATTCACCAGGCTTCTTCCCCGTGGAAAATTTTATTTTGTAAGAACCGTGTTGGAAAACCTGAAGTCTGTCACATTAGGCTGCACAGGGAAGAATTACTCATTAACTGTGTCATCTAGAAAAGGCAGGCCAGGTAACGTATTTTTAAAAATAGTTTTTCAGAATGCAATTTATTTTTTTAACTGGTCTGTAGCTTTGATGGGTGTTATTTATAGTTCCAGCAAGTTTCTTACAGGGGTAATGCTGTCTGCTGTGGAAACCGGTATCTTTGGTTTACCTGATGTGAGGTGTTTGAGCATCTGCTCCACAGAGAACTACAGGAGAAGCAAGAACAGTTGTCTCTCCTAGGTCATGCTGCCAGTCCTTGGCACGTGCCACCCAGCATACACACAGTGTGAACGTGCCCACTCCCACCATGATGAGCTACTTGTACCTGTGGTGTTTGACAGACTGGCTTCCTCTGTCAGGAGAAGGGACTTCAGGGAATGACTGGGGGCCGACAAAACTTGACTCCATCATTTTCTCCAATGCAGTCACAGGATGCCTTTCCACCTTTGAATACTGTGGGAAATCACACGTACAGAGTTGAGATGAAGGATAAGTTACGGGAGGAGGGCCTAGAACACCAGAGCTAGGCATTGAGAAGTTACTGGAATGCCAATTCCTCCTGGTCACCTGATTAGAGGAGCAGGAGATGAGACATAATTTGTGTCCTATTTCCAACACATTGAGTATTCACCTCCCTTGCCCCAACCATCTCTGTGCCTAGAAAGGATCCATTGAAGAGGGTTCTTCATGTCAGAATCCCAAGCCTGCTCTCTCATTTTTATTAATGTACACCCATGGCACACTGTGATTGACAGCCAAAAGGCGCTTACACGTATGGTTTAGTTGATGTACATCTTACCAAAAAAATTGAATTAGTAGCTGGGTTACCACTAATAAGGATTCAATAAACACTTATTAAATTTCATAACATTCTGAGAGTGATGAAAGACATTGGTTCAGAACATCTGGCCGCCACGCTCCACTGTTTTTCTCTTTCAGCTTGTTACCAGGTAATTACCATGTTTAACAAGAGAAATTTTGAGCATTTCACTCCTTATAGTTCGGAACTCTTGGTTTCTCCTTTGGCTATAATAACTCGTAAGGTGTAGAAGCCTAAAGAAGGCTTATATAGATGACAACTTCAGAAAAATTTTACCCCAAAAGAAATATCACACGGCATCTCAAGAGTCAATAAGTTGTCAACTTTAATACTCCTTGCACACTGGGCGCTGGAAGAGGTAGCAAAGGGTAGAAGATTTCTCTTCTAGAAACTCCAGGTGAAGACTTTCTTTAGAAATAGAAGTTTAAGGATGCTCATCAAAATAAAAGAGAGTTTGGAGTCTGGATAGTCAGTACCCAACGTGTCAAGTTAAAGATTCTAAGTGTTATCCTGAGTAACTATAAAACTCTAACTCAGTATACCTTTTTTTTTTCTTTTCATTTCAAAAGTAAAGAAGCCACTATTAGAAGCATTGATTAAAAAAATCAAGTTAATCAACCTTTTTGAATCTCACATCTATATGGTGGGATAATAAAATGTCTCTTACAGGGTTGTTGAAAAAATTCACAAACAATACTTAATGCATTTGATCCAGGTAAAAAGAAGGTAGACACAATAATGAAGATGATACTCTAAGATGTTTTCTAGCCTTTTAGAAATATTATCTCTGAACTATAAGAAACTACAGATAAATTCCACCCTAAGTCCCATTTCTAATCAGTTGGTAGTGGCTGCTTGTAGTCTTACATTTACATATATTCTAAAGATGACTTATGAAGTAAGAAATGGAGAAAGAAAGAGTTCTAACCAGCAGAAAAGTGAATCCAGGAGGAAGGAGTGGGAGATATTTTATTGTAATTTCTTTCTTAAAATGTCGGCTTTAAAATTAACGCTTGAAAGTGAAGTCCAAAGACTTTCAACATGGCTGGAAGATATTGACAAGAAAAAGAATATAAAAAGACAGAAGAATGAACATTTGAAAAACAAAAAGTCCAGGCTGGGATTGTAGAGAATAAAGACAATGTAACATATGCATGCTGATTAATTTTAGACACTGATGAACAAAACATATGTATTTAAGTATTAGAAATTAGACAGCACTAGAATATAAGAATTATATATGACATGAAAAAATTAAAATAATATTAATTCAGCAAAAATTAATAAGAAGGGGCTGTAAAAAGAAAGTATGGTAAATCGGAAATAAACAGACAGGAATAAGTGTGAAACTATCAGTGAGGATAAAAACTGTGGATGGTTAGATTTAACTATTAAAAGACAGATTCACGCACTGATTTTAAACATCTAGTCTTCTATGTTCTGAAATAACTAATTTAAAAACAACAGAGAAAAAACTCGACAGAATGGGTAGGGATATACTCTGCAAAGTATAGGGGAAAAAGTTTTTAACAGTAATAATTTCAAGTAAAACATAATTATGTATAAAATGCATTTTAAAAGGAACAAAGATGGATATTTCATATTAATAGAATGAGCAATCTAGCAAGTGATAAATATTCATAAATTTTTATCTACCTAACAACATAGCTTTAATATGAAAGGCTTTCTCAGGCCAGGCACCGTGGCTCATGCCTGTAATCCCAGCATTTTGGGAAGCTGAGGTGGGCAGATCACCTGAGGTCAGGAGTTTGAGACCAGCCTGGCCAACATGGTGAAACTCTGTTTCTACCAAAAATACAAAAATTAGCTGGGCATGGTGGCGTGCACCTGTAATCCCAGCTACTTAGGAGGCTGAGGCAGGAGAATAGCTTGAACCCGGGAGATGAAAGTTGCAGTGAGCTGAGATCGTGCCACTGTACTCAACTAGTCACAAAAATTATAAACCATTAACATTGTCATAACTTAATTACATACGAATTGTGGCAAGGAATGTAACTATGGATAACAGTAAAGTGTAATTTTAGTTTAATTTATATTTTTAGATTTTGATAAAGAGAAGTGATACAGTTTGGATATTTGTCCCCTTCGAATGTCATGTTGAAATTTGATCTCCAGTGTTGGAGATGAGGCCTGGCGGGAGATGTTTGGGGTGTTTGGGGTGTTTGGGTCATGGGGGTTGATTCCTCATGAATGGTTTGTGTCGTCCCTGTAGCAATGAGTGAGTTCTCATTCTATAAATTAATGGCAGAACTAGTTATTTAAAAGAGCATGGCACCCTTCCCCCTTTCTCTTTTTTCTCTCTCACCATGTGGCACCTGCTGCCCTTTCTCTTCCGCGATGAGCAAAAGCCTCCTGAAATTCTCACCAGAAGCAGATGCTGGCACCATGCTTCTTGTACAGCCTGCAGAACTGTGAGCCAAGTAAATCTCTTTATAAATTACCCAGCCTCCGGTATTGCTTTACAGCAGTGCAAACAGACTAACACAAGAAGATATGAATGAACTATTTGGTTAATGGAAATATATTAAAAACCTTTATAAAACTATATGGGAGATGTATTCATAACCTTATGGGAGAAAGACATTTGTTACCAGGACAAAACACCTAGAGACCATAAAGAAAAAAAATATGTAAAATTTGACTTACTACTAATTTAAATATTTTAAGTAACAAAAGTGATTATTAGTAAATCAAAATATAAGTAAAACCCTGGGGAAACATTGGCTATTCATACGTTAAAGATGATTCTTAAGATATAAAGACAGAAATCAACTGGAAAGAAATTAAAGGCAACAGATGAACAAGAATTTCACAGAAAAATGAAGACAGGCAATGTACATATGGCAAAGAGTGCAACTGCACTCATTATAAAGAGGTGGTAGTCAGAATAGAGAAAATTAAGCTAAGTGCAGTGGTGCACAGCTGTAGTCCCAGCTACTTGGGAAGTGGAGGTGGGAGGGTCATTTGAGCCCAGGAGTTAGAGACTCTAGTGTGCTATGTGATTAGCTATTGCACTCCAGGCTGGGCAACATAACAAAACTCTGCCTTTAAAATAAATAGAGAAATTTAAATTTCAAGAATATCTGATAAAGGAAAAGGCCCTGGAAAAGTAGCCATGGTGCTAACTTGAAGAGCGAATTGACAATATGTTTCAAAATTTTAAATATACTTACTCTTTGATCCAAAATACTACTTTTAGAAATTCTATCATGCAAATTTCCACAATTGCAAAAGTTCAAAATAATAATTTCCTGGGTATATAAGCAGTACAATTTTCCATAACGAAATGGAAATAAACACAAGAGTAAAAAAAAATTAAAAACAGTAGAAATGTCCACAAATGAATACTACACAGCCATTGAAAAGAATAAAAGGAAGGTGCAAAAAAGTACGCATATAAATCCATTTGTGTACATAAGGAAAATGCAATTAATAGATATAAATAGATTGTATATATATTTATGATTATATATACAATTAGCCTGGTGTTTATATATATATACAGATTTTTTTATGTGCATATACATATATTTTTCTGTGTGCATTTGCATGTGTGTTTCTCATGCAACTACTTAGGAGGCAGATTTTTAAAATTAAAATAAATTATTAATTGCCTAATTAGGTGTTGTGCTTGGTAAAAAGTATATCCATGAGTATAAGCTATGGAGACGAGGGAACACATCAAGGTTTTGCAGCTTTAAGTTCAAAAGCTCCAATTAGTTTTCTTTTCAATAACTTCCAAAATAAGCCACATAGTGGCAGTAATGACCATGTCTTGAACCAGAATCTGAATTTTTCACAGTGGACCTATAAAGCCCGGTCAGTCTTTTTTGCAAAATAGAGTAAAATAACAGAGAAAAGAGAAGATGCAGAGATAATTTGGAAAAGGTGATTGTTTTCAACAACCTTAAATAACAAAGATCCAATGCATAATGGAAATACCTCTATGTGTGCTTTATTATTGATTGTGTATTGCAAAGTATCCATGGAAAAAGTCAGATGAATAGACATGTTTACTAAAGTGCAATGATATCCTGAATATCTGTGTGACTTCTAAGCTCTATAAAAGACATATGAGCATTTGTTATCTTTTTTTATCTAATTAATTGGTTTACAAGAAAAACCTGGGTGCCTAGAAGGCCTAGCTACAAAAACAAGTGAGATGCTCTGGGCAAATCCATGACAAACTGAAGAAAGCAAGTATGTTCAGCAACTGCAGAGAGCTGTGATATGGTTTGGCTGTGTCCCCACCCAAATCGCATCTTGAATTGTAGCTCCCGTAACTCCCATGTGTTGTGGGAGGGACCTGGTGGGAGATAATTGAATCATAGGGGCAGCTTCCTCCATACTGTTCTCATGGTAGTGAATAAGTCTCATGAGATCTGATGGTTTTATAAGGGAAACCCATTTCACTTGGTTCTCTCTTCTCTCTTGTCTGCTGCAATGTAAGAGGTGCCTTTTGCCTTCCACCATGATTATGAGGCCTCCCCAGCCATATGAAACTGTGAGTCCATTAAACCTCTTTTTCTTCATAAATCACACAGTCTCGGTTATGTCTTTATCAACAGTGTGAAAACAGACTAATACAGGCTGCCAGGGGACAATATCAGCC